GACTATAACTCAGACGTCCCAGAGAGAGGCCCAAAGGTGCGTGTGGGGAAGAGGAACGCAAAAGGCAGCCAAGGCCTCCCGAGGTCTCGCCTCTGCCATGTCCTTGTCCTCTCACCTGCCTCTTCTCTTCCAGGACAGTGTCTATGTGACAACTGCGGCTGGAACGCAGAAGGCTCCAGCTGAAGCCATTCAACAGATGGAAAGCGCATACGCCACATGGGCGAGGTCTGAAATGCGCAGGGTGAGGGCCACTCAGTGAGGGGACGGAAGCCGTTTTCCCAGGTCCTTACAAATTGCCCGTCCTCCTTGTGAGTGACCTTGCTCCACAGTGGAGATGAGCAGAACCCCCAAGGGGCCATCCCTGCTTGTCCCTCCCCTTCCAAAGAGCCCCAAGAAGCCTGTGGCAGAGCCGGGAGGGAGGGAGGAAGGGTCCGCCTGGTGGGACTTTTTAAAAGAGTGACCAGTCATCTGCTCAGCCAAGTCCTGCCCAGGACAGAGGAGCTGAGTGAGGCCTCTGCTTATCAGTGGTCAGAACCACCTTAGAGCCCGGGCCTGGGAAACCCCAGCGCTGCCTACGTCGGCGGGAGCCCTGTGAGTCCCAGGGATGGTAAGCTCCACACTTCCACCTTCGCTGACAGGGCAGGGGTGCAGTGGATGTAGGTCCCTCTGGACCATCCAGCATCCATCCTCCCCCCTTGGCTGAAGCACACTGATCCCCTTTGGAGAACCCCCCCAATCCCCAGCACATATTCCCTTTGGGAGGAGCCACTGCCTCCCCTACGGAAACCCAAAGGTCCAGAGCCTCCTTTGTCCCAGGGCAGGTTGGGAGGGTGAGACAGACCACCCAATTTAGGGCAGGACTCCAGACTGTGGGCTGGTGAAAGACGGCTATGGTGGCAGATGGAGGCTGCTCCCAGCCCCAGTGGCACTTGGACCAGACAGGCCCTGCCCCCGACCTCTGAAGAGCACCTGTGGCCTCATCCTCCCGGGCTCCCACAGGAATGTCACCTGTGCTCCAAGCCAGGTTCCCCAGTCCCACGGCAGCCCTGTTCTGATAAATGCCCTCTCTGCTCATTCCCCATATTCAGGATCCAGGCTGACAAAATGGGCTGATGCAGACTGGGTAGCACAAAGTGTTTTCCATGGAACCCCCAAATCCTCTCAGTACCGCAGAGATTCTTGCAACGTATCATTCGAATTGATCTCTGAGATCTATTTTAAACTATTTTTAAAACAGTAATTAAAACACAACAGTAGGTTACCTTTGGGGGGGTACTGATGGTGAGAGGCCTGAGGGAAGCTTCTGTGGAACTGAAATTCTTTACTTTGATCTGAGTGGTGGTTTCGAGAGTACAGGCGTATGGTTATGCGACAGCGTGAACATACTTACTGCCACTGAACTGTACGCTTCAGAATGGTTAGGATGGCAAATTTTATGTCACATATATTTCATAATTTAAAACGCACCAATTAGAACAGAACTCAAACCCCTGCTTTAAAACCATCTCAATAAATATGAGATAAGCCAAAAAAGAAGAAAGAGTATAGGCATAAATTAGAAGTCCATCAGGATTTGTGCTCTTTGCTATACGTGAGCCGTACCCTAATTAAAACAAGGAACGAACTGAAAACACTGCTACATACCGAATGATACAACACTGGCAAGCTCGAAGCTTCCCTAGTGTTTTTGGGGCACCAGCTATCTCATTTCTTACAGAACTCAGGGTGAGCAACTCGTGCTAGAGCTGGGTCCCGAGGTTTAAAGGCAGCTGCTCAAACTCTCAGCATTGACAAGCACACATCGACGTGACTCAGATTATTTTTCCCTTCTGAACAATCAAAACGAAATACAAAAATAAACCAGATGTTGCGATGACAAAATTATAGAGATAGAATACAGATAAATGGGTGCCAGGGGTTAGGAAGGGGAGGGTACCAGGGTGGCTCTAAAGAGACAGCCCGAGGGAGCATCTTGGAGGTGATGGAGCTGTTCTATTCTTGATTGCCGTGGTGAATGGACAAATCTGCACGTGTGATAAGATATCATAGAACTATATGTAAAAGTGTACCCCAAAAAAAGAGTGTACGTAGAAACCAGCGAAACCTGAGTAAGCTCTGTCATCCAGTTCACCATATTGGGATCATCACTTCTCTGGGTCAGAGAGGGCACTGGACGTACATGAGAAGCCACCACTGGGTGAAGTTGGGTGACAGATACAAGAGAACTCCCTATACTATTCTGGCATCTTCTTGTGATTCTATAATTACTTCAAAATAAAAAAAATTAAAATATGGAAATAAATCAGAAGTTGAGATCGGTATCTGACTGCCATAACCTCAGTTTTCACATTATTCTGTTCATCGCATCACCCCATTGTTCTTACTGACTGGCCCAATAATCTGTACAGGTAAAATATGACACATTAAAATAAATGTATGCTAATAAAACACCACATAAGGTTAATGTTTAAAAGAGGGATCGGCTCCTTCAGAAAAGGTGAAAATCACTGAGGTATTAGAAAGAGCGCACCACAGAGAGCAGGGAGCAGGCGGGTTCCCTCAGCCACCAAGCTGTCACCTGAAGAACAATGTCTCCACCTGCTCCCAGCCATTAAAAGACTTTCTTTTTAAGGAAATGAGACATACGCACATAAGGACATAAGACGTCCCCTAGTAACATGTGGCTAAGTGTCAAATGAGCAGTGCTATGGACTATACCGTGTTCCCCCAAAATTCCCATGTTGATGCCTTAACTCCCAGTGTGACTGTATTTAGAGAGAGAGCCTTTAAAAAGCTAATTAAAGTTATATGAGGTCATAAGGGCGGGGCTCTAATCCAGTAAGACTGGTGTCCTTACAAGAAGAGGGAGAGACGACAGGGAGCTGTGCACAGAGGAAAGGTCACGTGAGGGCACAGCAAGGAGGCTGCTGCCCGCAAGCAAAGGAGAGAGGCCTCAGGAGAAATCACCTGCTGACACCTGGGTCTGGGACTTCCAGCCTCCAGAACTGGGAGACAACAAATGTCTGTTGTTTAAGCCACTCGGTCTGCGTGATATTGTGTCATGGCAGCCAGAGCAAATGAATAAAAAGTAGTATGGTGATGTGGTTTTGAATAAAAAGAAGTATGGTGATGTGGTTTAGAAGAGGAAAAAATGCTTGATCGTAAGTAGCTGCCTGCTCTTCAACAGGGGGCCTGAATATGGTACGTATCAACGCACAGCACGTTCCTATCAAAAGAAAAAATCTTTTATGTATCCAAAAGAAAATAAAAGCCAACTAGAAATCCCATGGAAGGAAACCATGTGATTAGATGGTGATTAGATGCATGCTGTTGACAAACACTGGAGTTCCTTCATCTGCTCTCGTCCATTCATTCTTTCGTTCCTTCTGCATTCAAGCAACCAGCCAACAGTGGGGACTGAGCCTCTCATGTCCTGTGCCAGGTGCTGGAGGACACACAGGCTGGCGGTCAGAGCTGGGGGCTGCGTAGTGCAAAGTTTTCTGGAGAGACGTGAGGGTAAGGGGTGTAAGAAGGACCCGCATCTGCACAGGGCAAGCGAGGGAGCAGGAGGCATGTGGAGTGGAGGCAGCCCCAGGGTGGGGGAGGCGGCCATCAAAGTTGACCTGCGAATTGGTCAGCCTGGGAAGGAGCAGCCACTTCTGGGGACAGCACAGGCCTTGGCAGCCCCGTTGACGGACAGATAAACACGTACACGTCTCTATAGCCCCAGCCACACGTAGGCCTGTGTCAGCTAGCCCTCGAGAGAAACATACTTTACGTTGTCTTTGTTTAATAATTCTGCAATGGAGATAGCTCCCAAACAAAAAAGCAAGGATTGGTTTGTTGGCTTTTGTCACCTCACCCTCAGATCCCTTTAGAGGACTGATGAAGTTTATTAAAAATCATTTTATAATCTCTAAAATGTGACAGAAATGTCCACTATTGTTACGCTAGATTTTGAAGGGCCTTATGAGTCACCCTGTCCAAAGTGACCATGTAATGGATTAAGAAGCTGACTTACCCCAGCTCACCCAGCCCCGACACGGGCGAGCCAGAGCCGAGGCTTCGATTACCCACTGCTGGGGCTCCACGAGCAGCTCAGGCTTTTAACATGTGAATTTCATAATATTACGTATTTTTCAATCCTATACTGTTTTTCTTCGTTTTACCATAATCCTAAGTACACGAGATTCACAGTTTTGCTTTTGGCAATGCAATACTGTATTTCAACCTCCTGGCGAACAAAGGTTTCCAGAACAAAACTGGAAACACTTTTGGTGTTTCCTCTCCTAACTGAACACACTCTTCCTACACTCAAAGGGTGGTTTCCATTTAAAACTAACAAGAAGTCGAGACAAACCAGATATAACTGAAAATGGGAGAGAAAGGAAAATGTCCAGTGAAGGGGAAGGTAAGAGAGAAGAGGGTTGAGGAGGAGGGGCGGGGAAGGAAGGAAAATGTATTTTTCCAACACTGCACGTTGGGTTCAGCACTTACAAGAAAGCAACTAGCATGGCTGGCACCAAAGCTGGTGGAGGAGACGGCTTACAGTCACGCTTCACCTCTCAGGGCACTTGGCAAAGACCATCCACGTGTAAGAGAACAAACCACTAAGCTTCTGTCTCATGACAACAACTGTATAACTCAGCAAACTTCCCTTCCGCCCTCGGAGAGAAGCGGCCAAGACCCTTAGAGCCAAAAGTGTCCCCAACTGCCGATAGCTCCAGGCAGCCTGGTGGCTCTTCCCCTTGGTTCAACTTCTCATATCTTCCTTATTAACCCTTTATCTAGAAGCCTTCTGCTGTAAGTAACTTCAAAACGTTTTAGGACCAAACAAAAGCAAAATAAAGTCAAAGAACCAATTTACGAGAAAAGAGGCAAGGGGATGTGCAGAGCTTGTTCGAGGACAGCTCCTCCACACTGGAAGTGTTATCAAGAAGTCTCCAGGCTGTCCCAGGGTATACTAGCCCCTTAGATTATTATTCAAATTCTAAACTTACCGACAGTGTCACACGGCTCATCTTTGTGTACGCAGAAATCTGTCCTAAAAAAAAAAAAGACGACATAGTCAGGTATAAACAGCACCCCCAAGAGCGGGAGAAGGAAACACTGTCATCCTTGCCTAGTTGTCCTGCAATGTTGTCACTTCAGTAGTCACATCTCAGTGAAGAACAACCAACAACGTTTGCCAAGGGTAACCCATCCACACCATTTGTAAGCCCAGTGACCCCCCTCCCCCACCCCAAGATCTTCCTTTTATAGGTGCACCATTCCACACATAACAGTTGCTAGGAGGACACCTTCTAAAAACTGAAAACACTTTGGAATATGTTTGCCAAGACCAGAGACAATTCTCAGTCGATATCATCCAATTATAGGGCCTTTCCCATGCTACTCTACTTGGGAAGCAACTGGTTTTTTTGATGCTATAATGACCATGTATCACTTCCATGAGAAGAGAACAAAAGTGTCATTTCTAAAAATTGTGTTCTTAAAAGCATCCCCAGGTGTGTAGCTGTGGACCAGTTAGACAGTGAAGATGCTTGAAACCTGGTCCAGCCCCAGTTCTGTAAGCACAAGGGGTTCATCTGGCCTCTCATGATGAAGCAGGGATCTAGGCACTTCTTTTCCAACACCAGAGCATTCCCCCGGTTCCTGCTGTAAATGCCTATGGTCAGGGGCCAACCACAGGGTTCAGGGTGGGCCAGCGCCCCACGTGGGAGCTGGGTGAGAAGTGACAGCCTGGCCCAGATGCAGCTGCTCCTGGGCCCCACACCTGTCTTCTGCTCATCTTCTCATGGGGCCCATGTGGGGCCCGGAGACTGCACCTACTCACCGGCAGCTCTCTGAACACACTCACACGCAGCCAGGATATGACAGATGTGTTCTGAAGCCACCTGTCCTCACCTTCCATTTAAAACATTTTCAAGGAAGGAAGATGAGGCTAGCCAGGCAAGGCAGACACCCAGCAAAGTCAGGACAGGAAGCAGCAGGTCCTGGTTGGGCTGCGCTAGACCCTCCCTCAGTGGCGTGTGGCCTCCCCTCTCTGATCTCCTTCTCCACACACTGGCACACACTACCCCAGATGCCTCCCCTTCCCTCTAGCAACAACCACTCTCAGGGCAGGATCTGACCTGTCCAGCAGTCCCACCAGGAGCACGGACACAGAGAGCAGTGTAGTACTCTCCTAACCAGCTGCTGCCGTTGTCACTCCCTCCACACCAATCCGCGCCAATCCACACCATTCCCTGGTGTGTTTGCCTCCAAAACATAACCCACATCTGACACCTCTCAGCCCTGCATGGACTTCCATGTACATGGAGCAAATCCCACGTGTCCCCAGCCCTGGCTCTGCTTCAGGTAGGCTGTGAATCATGAAGACCTCACCAGCCCATGCAGACCCACACACCTGCCTCTGCAGGTTGAAGAGGTTCTACTTGGGGTCTCAATGTACAGACTCCAAGGTCCAGACCCACTGCCTCGGGCCAAAGGTGTCCCACCAGGTGCACCGGACATCCTGCCAGTTCAGAGGAGAGAGCAGGCAGCCAGGCGGGTATGACAGCTTCATAGGTGTGGCCCTTGAGACCACTGGGAAAGAAAGCAAGGAGGAGATCCGGGCCAGTCGGGTCAGGACTCTCATGGGCTTTGTTACTGGAAGTTTCTAATTTTTTCATAACAAACATAGATATCTTTGGTAATCAATTATTTTTGGTCAATTTACTTTATCTATTGACAAAAATTGTATGTATTTATGGAATACAATGTGATGTTTTGATATATGTCAACATTGTGAAACAGTTAGATCAAGCAAATTAACAGACGCGGCACCTTACCTACTTATCAATTTTCTGTGATGAGAACATTAAAAATCTACTCCCATCAATTTTCAAGTATACATTAACTATTGATGGTCCCTGACTTACGATGGCGCAAATTATGATTTTTTTGACTTTACAGTGTGAAACCGTGACAATTTTGACACCATGTGCAGTGTTCAACGAATTACATGAAATAGTCAAAATTTCATTACAAAGTAGGCTTTATGTTAGATGAGTTTGCCCAGATGTAGGCTAACGTGAGTGCTCTGAACACGTTTACAGTCAGCTGGGCTAAGCTGTGGTATTCAGTAGGTTAGATTTAACAACTACATTTCAACTTACGGTATTTTCAATTTACAGTGGGCTTATTGGGATATAATCCCATTGTAAGGTGAGGAGCATCTATAAGGTCACCGTGCTGAATAAAAGATCTCCAGAATTCACTCTAGGGAATTTAACAAAGGGGAAAAAAAGCCTTTGGGACTCCCACGTTGCTGATAGCCTCACTCCAACGCCAAGGGAACCTCCTCACTCCAACGCCAAGGGAACCTCCGCGCAAACAGAGGAGGAATAGCCATAAGGAGCTGAAAAGGGAAGCCTCTCCCTTGGGTTTTCAGTCAAAGATTCCCTTTTAGAAGACTAAGGGACGGGCAGTGGAAGAAGCATGAGCAGAAAGGAAACCAAACAAATAGAATGAGGGACATAAATATGTTCACTGGTCCAGTTTCTACCTCGCCCTGGCCTGACAGCCTTCCCGTGCCAGTGTTTGGAACAGCACTCTCTCTCACACATTCACACAAAGACCACGCTGATCCAGCACCTTGCTCCAGGGGTTCCCAGAGGTATAGACTGAGTGGGTGTTGAAAGCTTTGTCCTGTCTCCTCAGCTGAGCTAAAGGGTAAAAGGCGTGTGGCCTTCCATCCAATGGGAGAGAGAGAGCCAGCCAAGGCGAGAGGGGCACCATCTTCGAGAAAGCCAGCCTTGCTGGCCAAGGAGGACTCCGCGTGTTCTCCCATCCCACAGCCTCCCTGATGGGAATGGGCAGTCCCAAATAGTAGACCCCCAGGCACCACCCACTGCTTCTCCTGAGGAAAAGGGCAGAGGTGTGCTCAGCTCAGGGAGGGTCACGCTCAATCAAAGTCCTGTCCTGAAAGGGTCGGCCAGAACTTGAATCTCCTCTCTCTTTCCTGTTCAAGTTCCTTTCTCCGAAGAGGAAAAGCAAGACCTATCTGCCTGCAGGGGCGGTGTCATGCACAGGGAACCTGGTCTGTTCCTTTAATTGTCAAGGACAATCGCTTTGTATGTCATTCTGCTGCCAACTCACACCAAACCCCCATGCAGGGCTGTGGAGTTCACTGGGGAATAAAAGCAAAAACGAGAGCCGGCCATAGTTCCAGCCCTAAAGCCCATGGCACACTCCACGAGAGGAGGCAGGCTGACGCGGAGCTGCACAACACGGCTGGCTTCCTGGGCGTGTGCTCCATGGAGTCGCACAGCCCACACTCAGAAGCCCCCGGCCTCTCCGACTTCGGTTAATGCTCTGCTGTCGCCATCTTGAAATTCTTAGTAATTTTTGAACATGGGGTCCTGCATTTTCATTTTGCTACAGGGCCCCACACGTCATGCAGCTGGTCCTGTGCATAACCTACTGCCTGGCATACAGTTGGGGCTTAATGAATACTGGATCCTTCATTAGTTAGTTTCCAGACCTTTTACAATGGGCCCTACAAGCTCACCAGAGGCCATGTCCCTCGTCAGTGTTTAGAAACCTGGTAAAACGGAACACCATGTTCAACAGACACTTGCCGAGCTCTCACCATGAGCAAAGCTTCACAAGAGGCCCCCTTGGCAGAAGGGTGAAGGGAAGAGCATCCGGGAGGAGCTAGATGGAGTTACGCCGAAGAGGGAGGTCAGGGGCAGCCCAAGGGGCCCCAGCAAGGGGACCTACAGGCCGCCGCGTTTGCTCCAGGCGTCTCCCTGGCACTCTCATCAGATCACAGACCTGAGTGCGCTTGTGGGAGTTCTGCATTACTGGCTTTCTGGGTCAGATGCAGAGCAAAGGCTGAAGCCATGCCAGGTGTTGAGGAGCCCTGGAAGCCCAGGCCTCTGTGTGGGCCCTGTGTGGCCCCAGCCCCAGTCTACTCAGGGGCCCTTTCCAGCCCTAGACACAGTTGCAGAAACCCCAGCTTCCGCCACTCTGGCTCAGCGGCTTCTGCTGGACATGACGTCATGCTCACGGCCTCCACAGCGGCCATCTGTCCATCAGGCGGTGTCTGGAAGAATACACTCTTGAGCTCACCCACAGCCTGTGAGGGGGGGAAGAACCTTAAAAGAAACCCCCACGCGGGCCGGTCCTAGGCGCAGGACTTGGGGAGGCTGTCCCCTGAACGCTGCCTGGCCTGTGCAGCCTCAGCTCGGGTTACCGTGGGAGGAAAGGACTGCTTCTCCAGAGCAGCAGCTGCCTCGCACCCAATTTCCTTGTGAAAACATCAGCCCATTATTATCCCAACCCAGGGAATTGCAGCTCTCTGCCTCTAATTATTAAACGAGGCTTCTCCGCCAACTCAGCGTCCTGCCTGACTCCAGTGCTGCCTCCCCGATCCTTGCAGAAGGTTTTCGATTTAACGTCTGCAGGGACCCATAGAACAGGACTGCACACTGACCCCTCCAGTGCAAGCAGCTCCACAGCAGCAGGTGAGGGACTGTGATTGCTCAGGCGGCTTTGAGGTGTCGGCAGGAAATGAAGAGCGCTCAGGCTCCTGGGCTAGCTGCACGTGACACAGCCACACAGGAGGCCACACTGCATTGCTCTCCCAGAGCCCCGTGCCCTGCAGCTGAAGAAACCTTGTCTTCCTTGTCCCTGCACAAGGACGCTTCCCATCGCACCCCCAGCACTTGTATCCAGAACTACTACCATGCAATTAGGATCTCTCTCCATTGTGCTTAGATAGAACATTTGACAATATCTTATTGTGCTAAAACACACATAAAATTTACTATCTTAACCACTGAGTATACACTTCAGTAGTGTTAATTACATTCCCACTGTCATGCAACCATCGCCACTATCCATCTCCAGAACTTTTTCATCAACCCAAACTGAAAAGGTACCCACTAAACAACCATTCCCCATTCCCCCTCCACCCAGGCCCTGGCACCCATCATTTTACTGTCTGTCCCTATGATTTTGACTACTCTAGGGACCTCATGTAAGTGGAATCATTCAGTATCTGTCCTTTTGATAACTGGCTTATTTCACTAAGCACAATGTCCTCAAGGCTCATCCATGTTGTAGCCTGTGCCAGTTTCCTTCCTTTGTAAGGCTGAGCAACATTCCACTGTACGAATATAGCACATTGTGTTTATCCATTCACCTGCTGGACTCTTGCATTGCTCCCGCCTTCTGGCTTTCATGAGCAATGCTGCCGTGAACATGGGTGTACAAATACCTCTTAGAGTCCCTGATGTCAATTCTTTTGGGCACATACCCAGATGCAGGATTGCTGGATCACATGGTAAGTCTATTTTTAGTTTTCTGAGGAGCCATCATATTGTTTTCCACAGTGGCTATGCCATTTTACATTCCCACCAAAGGTGCACAAAAGGGTTCCAATTTCTCCACATCCTTCCAACACTGGTCATTTTATGCTTTTTATTTTGTTTTATAGTAGCCATTGTAACAGGTGTGAGGTATAAAAAAGAGCATTTTTTACACAAAACATGTACTCCGTGGAAAGCAAGCTGTCAGGGGGCCAGGAAATGAAAGGAAGTCTATCCGGCAGCATCTCTGTGCTGAGAACATATTGACATCTGCCCATGGCTTTTCCTAAAAGGCTAATCCATAAACTTTGTCAACACTCATTCTGGTGACATTTATTGCCTCTGAAAAAACTGCTATTTATTCCCAAACCAAGACCACTTACAAGCACTTTCTCCACCCAGACAATGAATGGAAACAGCAGGAAAGAGAGAAAACTTTTTCCTATATAGGGAAAATTTCCATAAGTTATTAATTATTTTTAACAAAACTCCAACAGTCGTAGATTTTATATAATATTTATAGAAACCACTTTCAAAGTAAAAGCCTTGGAAGTTAAGCTGCACACTCGAAAGATGAAGTTATTTGGAGCTCCTCTCTAGGAAAGGCCGTTAGACCTAATCTAATATCATTTGGGAAACCAGTTACATTAATTTATGGTCACACACAGACATGGTTCCTAAGGGCTCCTGCTTACTCTCCAGATCAAATCCACTCTCAAAGCATGGTATCCTTGACCTCAACACTACAACACTCAGGGTACTCGACAGAAAGCCCCACAGGCTCGAACGTCATTGCAAAGTGCCTGAGCAATGGTGGCCTCTGTCCTCTGAGCATGGGCAGCAACCACTGATGGGGAAGGTGGACCTGGAGGTTTCCCAGTACTCACTAGGGTAGGCAAGCCCAGATCAAATGCATGAACCGGGTCATGTTCATCCTTTCGTCCCTGGGGCCTGCTAGTACACCGGCCACATCACAGGCAATGAGAATCATTAAAGAGCCTTTCTCTAAAATGTCCCACTACATATTAAACCACATCCTGTAGAAGCAGTGAATGTTCTCATATGGGATCAGTATGCCACAGGGCACATTTTAACCCTTGGGGGTGGCAATCAATGAATCACTTACAAGAGTGATTAGGCATCTATTTGTTGACTGGTGGTGGCAATGAGCATGTTCTGGAATTTTTGAGAGGAAAAGGAAGCTGCCTTGCCTGGTACCAGGGTCACAGAATTTCCCCAGCTAGCTCTGGGATGTCTCTGAGCCAGGGACTAACAGCACATGACCCAACAGATACAACCAAAGGGCCTTTCTTGACTCAAAATCAAAATGTTAAATAGATTTAACTCTTTGTGGAGAAATCAACTGTCTTCAGACTAAAGAAATGATACAGTTCCTCTTTCCCTAACTTTACTTCTAAACTCAAAAAGGAAAAGAAAGCATATAATTTGGGAAGTAGTTTCTTTAAATTAAAAAAATCCTTAAAATTCAAAGTTGATATATTCCTAGCAAGTCTAATCAAACTCTGGTATTTGTAATCTAATGGGTTAAGTTACTAAGAAACATTTCTGGTTTTGGCATGAACGCATAACACATTTTATTTACATTATTAAAGCAAAGCAACCAAAGAAAATCAGTTTTCCTCACAGAGGTTTGAGACATAGGAAAAAGATGAAATAGCCACGTCTACATCTGTGGTTTGAATTGCATCCCACAAAAAAGATATGGTCCAAGCCCTAACCCCTGGTACCTGTCAATGGGATCTTATTTGGAAAGAAGGTCACTACAGGTGTGAACAGGATGTGGTCGCACTGGATTCAGGTGGGCCCCAAGACAACAAATGGTATCCTTATGAGAAGAGAGAAATCTGGACATGGAGACACAGAGGGAAAATGCCCTGTGACAGTAAAAGAGGGACTGGAGTGACACAGCTAGGAGCCCAGGCATTTTAACAACCTCAGAGAAAGATACTTCCATTAATCCCCATGTTACTGAGAAGAAAACCAAAGCCCAGACTGGTGGCCCCAGGTCTGATTTCCAAGCCTACATTCCTAATAACGCGCTCCACTTCCAATGTCTTTTCCACATCAGCTACAGGCACAGGCCGGATCCAGTTTTACCTGGTCACAAACACAGCAGCATCCACGGGGGGCGTGTCATCCTTCCCACCTGGAACCTGGTTGTTGCCAAGGTACCGTGCTCCGCCATATTCCTCGTTCTGCCAGTGGCAGAAGCTCTCCAGGGACCGCTCACCGTGATGCCCGATGGACAACCTGGCCTAAATGAAATTGAGGGTCAGTTAGAGAAGCAAACACCCGGGAAAGCCACAGTTATATCTGGACAGTGTGGATATTAAGGTGGAGATAGGTGCTCGCTGAGATGCCATTTGATGACTTGCTGCCCCCAAGCAAAAGCCCAACACTATGGGAATGGAGCACAGACCCAGCAAGAGACCATCAGGGGCCTCATCTATAAGTTCAAATGAACACTATGTCGTTAAAGAAAAGCATTCTTCTTTTTCGTGAACAGAACAGTGTGCCAAACCAAGCAGTGTTCCCTCAATCTCACGTTCATTGCTTGACTCTGCGGTTAACATTGTTAAGTAGGAAGGCACTTGACTGAAAGATGAGAAAACAATGCTACAGTGAATCCAAATTAGGGTCAAAGGTCAAGTGTAGCTCCAGAAGGGAAGCCATGATTCCAAAGACCTCACCATTAAGCACTGTACGTATCCGAGAGTAGCATGGACGACCCTCTGGGAGTGGAGGGAGGATGTGCATGAGCCCACTGCTTAGGGTCCCTTGAGATTCTAAATAGCCTGCGTGCAAGCCATGCTTGCCCTCCTGTCACACTGATGTCATCGGCAAAGCCAGGGAGGGGGAATACGACAGACAAGGACTCAGACCCCTCCTTAGCACTCAACAGCAACCGAGAAATTTTCAACCCAGTTACACCTTCTGTGTGCTCTGAAAGGTGCCAGTGGGGACTTACGGGACGTTGACGTAGCAGGACAAGCTTGGTAACTTGAATATTAATTTTAATTCCAAGGCTCTGGTGCTGAAACATATTGTATACCTATCAAGAGAGAAAAAGAAATACACAAAGATATAAATATAAAAATAAAAATACAGTGGTATCCTAGACGGGAACTTGGAACAGAGAAAAGATACTAAATAAAAACTAAGGAAATCTGAAAAAAGTATAGACTTCAGTTTATAATAATGTATC